GCTCCTTGGAGGCCAGGATGGCTAAGCTTCATCTCTCATACTTTGGACATATTGTCAGGAGAGAACAGTCGCTGGAGAAGGATGTCATGCTCGGTAAGATGGAGGGTCAGAGAAAAAAGGAAGACCCCCAACAAGATGGATCAGCCAGGTGGCATCATTGATGGCATCAAGTGTGGCAGCGGTGGTGGGGTTGGCCCAGGATTGGACATTGTTTCATTCTGCTGTTCATGGGGTCGCTATGAGCTGGTTCAAACTCGATGGCACCTGACAACAACAACAACAATCTCATGAAGTGTTTCGTTTTATGTAAGCAGGTTCCACAGCTACTCTTTGTTGTTGTTGTGAGTGTATCTATTGCACTTTTTCCAATTCAGTTTGGTATAGGTGTACAACTTATTGACAGCAATTACAATAATCAGTTGTGCAGCTCACCCATACTGCCATTGTTCCATCAACATAAACTGAAACTATCCAATCTATCTTAACCTGGAATACTCCATTCATATTTTTCAAAACTGTGCTTTTGATGAGCATTGAATGACAGAGAATCAATGTCTCTGACAAGTACTTACAGTGTGAGTGTTCTGTCAGCAAATAGGCCAGCTCCATGCACCTTAACAATCAGCAGAGTTAGGAGTAGATAGCCTCTTTAGAAAGGAAGATGATCCAGATGTCTGAAGAGAAGGCTGGACCACCTTTCTATAGAGGTGGGAAGAGTGAACACCCATAATACAATTATTTATCCCTGAAGCCGAGGGGGAAGTATACAGTTAAAACCCTAAATTCCCATCTTGTAGAGTTGTAATTTCCAGTCTGTTCTTTGGAATTCTAGTCCAATTAATTATATGCTCTATGATGAAAGGGTCAAATTCATTTGAGAACTGTGTGCACTGAATGCCTGTTGCCTTGGACAGTTCCAATGTGCATAACATAGTAAAGACTATGGAGAATCCTGTGATCAAGACATATTATTGTTGTCCCCAGTTTCCTCAATATTATTTTACTATGCATTTTGTTTTTACCTCCTATAATGTATGTATGTTTTTACCTCCATCTATGTCTTGGTAATTCCAAGGTTGGTAATTCCAAGCACTAATTGTGCTGTATAGAATGTAGTTTGGGGAAATTCCCATAACTTTAGCTCAGAATACTTTCAAAAAGGATATAATTTAATGACATGTTAGTCATAAAACAAGAAAAATAAGACAAAAGAATCTCAATGAGACACCATAGAAATTCCTCATCAACTTTCCATGATAAACTATGTGTGAAATGTACCTCCTGACTCAGTAAAAGAGTTGAGTTGCATTGAGGGGTTAGCTTTGGTGGACACCTTTCAAAATTGATTTTATCTTAAGAATAATTGATATTATATGATTTCCTGCCACAATTACAACTCTACCATTGAGTTCTTTGCTAGATCTTCACAATAATATCTTTATCAGAAGGTTAAAGGGATGGAATATATCCAACTTGTTCTAGTTGTAATGTGTGTATACAGCACATTTTGGATTTCTTCTTTTCTACTTACTATTGTTTTGTCTATGTATTTACATAAATGGACCTGATCCATGTATTTATTTTATAATATAATTTTCATGCTGTTCATCCATCAATGAACTGGGCATTTGAGTTTTGTCTTTTCCACCCAACATTATCTTGCACAGACATTTACATAAAGGGGCAGCATTCACATATTTATTTTATTAAGGTACCATAGTTTGTATAGTTATTTGACAATTATTGGGTGTTTGAGTTTTTTCAAGTTTTCATTTTTGAAAAACAATGATGATGCAGGGTTTGTGGTTCACAGCTTCGAAAAATACTTGATTCTGAAAAATTTCCACAGAGTACAATACAAAAATGAGATGAAACACTATCCATTTTCTAGTTCTAATATTTTATTCTTAAACTTTTCAAGATGTCAGAACATCATCACCTTTTCTGGATTCCTCTGACCAGATCTTAACTTAAATTCCTGAAAACATAAACTTCATTAACAAGGGCATTATGGCTTATCTTGAAGACAGAATCCAGCAACAAAAAGGAAGTTCTGTTATAGTTTTTCTTTTCTTGCAAGAGAATGGGTTTTGAAGGGCTGCATGAAAATCTCAATTGTAGAAATAATAGGAATTATGGCCATAGAATTGGTGTTTCATTCCTGAATGCTCCTTATCCCTGAGGTCTTTTTGGTCATCTAGGATTGATTTATGGAAACGTTTTCGTACACCAGTTTTTGAAAAAGAGTTCTTCAGGTCCAGCAGGTTGGCTTGAGGCTTGGCCACTCCAGCCCTTGGAATCCAACCCAGAATAGGTCTTGTTTCTTCGTTGTTTTCCATGTTCAAAGCCCACTGATGATCTTCTGGCGTACCAAAAAACTGTTCTAAGGCGAATGCTTCTGTACCTTGTTTATTTTGCAAAATTCTAGGCTTACTAAGGTTCTTACGGTCCTGACATGTAGTATACTGGTCAGATGTAAAATGTTCATAGTGAATGTAATTGTTGGCCTTAGAGTAAGGTACACGAGGTTGGGGCTTTAATGCCAGCTGTCTCTGGTACATATCTTCTATCTTTTTAGTATCTGTGACTTTTGGAAATGATTTTATGTTATAAAGGTCAGTCAGCTCTTTTGTTGGGTAACCTGATGGAAGTACATAGGTCGACAGCAAACTTTGTTCTTTAATCTTCTCTTCAATGTCTTGGTCTTTACGGGCTACGCTGGCCCATGTGTTATCATTAAGGGCCCTCATTTCTTCAGAGCTGGGTATAAAGGTATGAAAAGTACATAAAACTGTAGGGGTACAATCTGGACAGGGAGGTGGTTTTTCCTGGACGGTAGCCTCCAGAGGACGTTGTTCATTAATCAATCGAGCAATTCGTCCTTCCAAGGGTCTGACGGGTTTTAAGACAGGGTGGAATTTTTCTTGCTGTAGTAGTGAAATAAGAAGAAAATAAATTATTCATGAATCTGGCATTTTGAGGACGTTGCTACAAATGGCCGATCAAAAGTAATACCTGTTTTCCCTGAGTAAACAAGGATGGGTTAGGAGTGTACACTGCAATCTTTTTATATTTATTGAGATATTACTAAAATATATGTGTGGTCATAAGCATATGTTTATCTCCTCTACTTATTTTTGCCAAGATGGAAAAAGTGAATTTTTAATTTAGCTATAGAGAAGCTCCTTTATTTAGGGACTTGTTGCTTTTACACTTTGGAAGATATAAAATAATCACTGGAACAGAACTTTTACCCATCACCAACTGATGTTAAAAGTAATGCATGATTATTTCAATCTTAGGAGTTCTGATATGACATTGTAGGATAAGCACTGGACTGCTAACTGCAAGGTCAGTAGTTCAAACCCACCAGCCTCTCTGCAGGAGAAAGATAAGGCTTTCTGCTCATGCAGATTTACAGTCTTGGAAACCCTACGCTGGCTCTGTATGAGGGAACCAACAGGATGACAGTGAATGAGTGGGTGAGTGATTTAAACCTTAGTCAAAGCCTTCTTTATTAGGCCAAGGCAGGGAGCTCATCAACCTTAGCCGAATAAGAAGCACCTTTGAAGTTAGCAGAAAATGAAGTTCCTAGATCTGACTCTTGAGGATTATGATTCAGAAGGTTGCAGTGGGGCACAGGTATCTGGTTTTTAAGAAGACCACAGGTGGTGTTGAGACTGGTGGTGTGCTATTTTGAGAAACATTGGTCTGATGTGAGTTTGTCCTGCCTGTGCTGCTTTTTGAAGTGTGTGATCAATATTGTTTAGCACATCGGGAACTGCAAAGCAGTGAGTGTATTCAAAGTGCTATTACCACATGTCTGTCTGTCAGGGGGAAGAGAGAGGGAGATGACTGGGAGAGGGCATGAGGGAACTTTCTGGGTCATAGTCTATATCTTGATAAGAGGTTAGGATACAATGGTGTGTGCATTTGTGAAAGCCATGTGAATCTACACTTAAGATATCTATAAGGAGCTCTGGTAATGTAGTGTTACGAATCGGGCTGCGAACCGCAAGATCAGTAGTTAGAAACTACCTGCTGCTTCGCAGGAGAAAGATGAGGCTTTCTGCTCCCCTAAAGATTTACAGCCTCAGCTGTAAATTTAAAGACCAAGGCACTGTGGGTTAATGCACCAGGCTGCAAAGCTGGTAGAACAGTAAGGTCAAGCTCACCTGCTGCTCCTTGGAAACCCTATACAGGGTCGCTATGAGTCAGAACCGACTTGATGGCACTTAACAACAACAACAAATTTTACTGAATGTAAATTTGACCTTTAAATAAAAAAAACACCACAAATCAAATTTGAACATGCTGAATGTTTAGGGGTGATTAGGTAGGGTTTATCATATCCTGCTTTGATGGAATCTCTTTCCCTTTAAGCAAGAAGCAATTTTTGTATCTTCATTTTATTCTTCTACAGAAAAAATTTCATAGGCTTCCTAGAGTCCATTATTTGGGTTTTAGTCAGAAACTCACAAGATTTACTGAAAATTTCTTTTGAACTATTTTAGATGTATTTCATCTTACTGTTGTTTTTGTTAAGTGTCGTAGAATCGATTCTGACCCATAGCGACCCTGTATAGGGTTTCCAAGGAGCAGCTGGTGAGCTTGACCTTACAGTTCTACCAGCTTTGCAGCCTGGTGCATTAACCCACAGTGCCACATCTTATTAGTTACTATTTAAATGTTTATTTACTCACACAAAATTCTGCATATATGTAGCAAGCATACTACATATAACTGTCCACATATTTCTTTGCAAAAATCGAAAAAGCTGCTTTCTGAGTAGCTAGACTCTACAGGGTCAAATCTGTGGAAATCTGGAATTACTGAATACACCTAGCAATGTTAGAGTGTGCATGTAATATTTTACAACCTTTTGTTAAGTACCTTGGAGTCGGTTCTGACTCATAACGACTCTATATATAGGGTTTCTGAGGAGCAATTGGTGGGCTTGAACCTCCAACCTTGCGGTTAGCAGTCCAGTGCTTATCTTACAGCACCACACCAGAAATCTCTACCTTACAGGGTACTTATTGCAAGTGAAACATACAAAGTATACTTCAGTGGATGGCAAAGTACAGCCTGTAGAACTATTTCTGGTTCTATGATTTTGTTCCACCATAAAATATACTGAAGCTAATCAATGTGTTCAACTTAAAAAAAAACTTGAGACTGAAGTAATCTTGGTGGTGGTTGTGTGCTGTGGAGTTGGTTCTGACTTACAGTGACCTTGTTTAGAATTTCCCAGGCTACAAAACTTTACAGGAGTAGAAAGTCCATCTTTCTACCTCGGAGTGGCTGACCTTGCGGTTAGCCGCTCAGTTTGTAATCTACTATGCTACCAGGGCTATCTTAGAGTTGTTTTTTATGTGTCTTTGAACAATTTACCTCTCTAAAGATGTTAATTTTGTTTTGAAAATTTTGTAGTTTTATAGGATAAAGTTTAGGCCCCAAATAAAATAATACATATGCATACTAGTAGGTCATTTCATTACACAATTAAGCCAACAGATTATAACTTCGTTCACTAAAACCCACTGACATTGAGTTGATTCTGATTCATAACAACTCTTTATAGAGTTTCCATGGCTGTAAATCTTTATGGAGTATGAAGTCTCATCTCTCCCCCACACAGTGGTTGGTGGGTTTGAACATCTGACCTTGTGGTTAGCAGTCCAATGTTTATGCTACAGCACTACCAGAGCTCCTTAGTTTCAGTAGAGCCAGAGATAATTTCATTTGTTAAAATCAATCAAAGGAGCCCTGGTGGCCCAGTGGGTTAAGTGTTGGGCTGCAAACTGCAAGGTTAGCGGTTCATATAAACCAGCTACTCCTTGAGAGAAAGATGAGCCTATCTACTCCTGTACAGACTGACAGTCTCAGAAGCCCTAGGGGGTAGTTTTAGGGCCCTATAGGGTCACTAGGAACCAGAATCGACTTGCTGGCAGTGGGTGTAGCCTGAAAAGAAATTCATACTATCAGTTAAATACCTAATGGGATTTGCAGAGACTTTATTGGCTTTTGGTTGTAATTCAGCCAACTCTCAATTATTGTGGCTATCAGGAGGGAGTTTTATTTCTTCAAAAAAAATGGTAACGCACAAGATATACAAATACGCAAAGATTCACAGAATTCATTAAGAATCACATTAAATTAATAATTAAGTTCTGTTCTTTTGTAAACTAATTTCTTTGTAAGTTATTTTACCAAAGCAACATAGTAGAAAATCTGTAAAACAAGCACTGTGAGGAGGAAAAGATACCTTTCTTGTTCTTTCAAATAATGGGCAAGGGTATTCAAACCAGTTTAGTTTGATTTTGTTCAGAATTAACGTCTAAAATGAGTAACAATTTCCCTTGGCAAGCTTGGTCACCAACGTGTACGAATTAAAAAATAAGTGGGCAAAGCAAATGGGAGCCCAGCATCTGGTTACTTCGCCCCTAAATAACTGAGAGTTGGCTGCAATTACTTACAGGCTCAGGGTCAAATCCTATCTGTCCAGTTAAGCCGGCTACCTCCTTTTCATGGTAATCATCCAGCTCAAGGGGGTTCATGGGCCCCACACCTTAAGGGAAACATTATGTCATATTATTCTGTTAGAGTAAATGAAGAATGACATTTAAATGACCTTTTATTGAAAAACATACCCATACCCTTTGTAATATAATTAGAACCCATGAAATGAAAACCTACCCTTCCTCCCAGTTACCCACTAAGAGAAACTTACCACCCGCCTTAATGTTTATTAGGGCCTACACTGAGAAACAGGGAAAACTGTCAGAGGATGAAAGCATTTGCTAAATATTTGTACTTGTATTAAAGTGCGGTCATACCTGTAAAATCATGAGTGTACGAAGTGATCCAGTGGGACCGCTCAAGATTTCTTTGTATGTTGGCTTCTTTCAGAGAAGTAATAGGATCCCACAAGTTTAAAGACATGTTAGGAGCGTAGGTTTTAGGAGGTTTTGGGTAGAACACTGGCTTATTTTTCTCAACACATTTAGGAATCTAGAATATGAATGTAAAGAAGAATGCTTTAGTGGCATCTAGCAGAATAAGGGCCTACCTACATTGACAGAGAACTTCCAGAGGTTCAAGCGGATTCAGAAGAGGCAGTAGAATGAGGGATATCATTGCTGATGTCTGATGGATCTTGGCTGAAAGCAGAGAATATCAGAAAGATGTTTACCTGTGCTTTATTGACTAT